AGCCACTTCAGAGATTAGCCGGAACAAACAGACAGACCAAAAATTGTAAAAAATGTTGTGTTGATATATGTACCCTGTATACATCTATATACATTTAGCAAAAAGCTGTTATTTTGACATTACAAACAGACACTTCAATATTATTTATCTGTATAAATTTACTCGGATGCGTTCCTAGGTGCTTTCTTATTGACATTATATGGAAGCAACGTCATCTTTTGGCAAATTTTGTTATAAACAGTACCCTAGATGCTATTCCAGGTCATACTCTATGTGTGTGTACTACATTTCATCTTAATCCGTCTCAAATTTCAATACGACGATACTTCGTTAAAAACGATGAGAGATCAGGCACAAGACCCGTAATCCCGTCGGGAGTTTACGTGCTCTCCAAGGCACGGGGGTGAAAAACCGCTAACTTTTTAATTCCTGACTGTTATTGGGACTTTCTTAACAGAAAGACACATCTAACACCTCAGTCTCTCCCGTGATCATGATCGCTGTAAAGCATTCGAAACGTCGGGAACCAAAAATCAAAATAAATCCGCGAAATAATCCAAAAAGATAGTTTTATTTAAAATGTCAAATATTCGCGTAAATCTAAGAAAGTATTAACAGAAAGACTCAATAACTAAGCTTGGCTCGACCAGGAACTTACCCGGGACTAGACCACCGAAGCAGTTATAGGCTGACTGCTGAGGCAGAGCAATGAACCTGATCTCTCACTGCGAGTGTCGACTTGTCGTCCAAGGAATTAGACTGATAGGATATGAGAGTACGTTATAACCACTTGTACTGGAAGGGCCGATCCACACTACAGTACAAATCGCAGTCCGCTCTCGGTGTGGTAAAGTATTTTTATACAAAAGTTGTTGTTGGAGTATGAATCGAACAACACTTGGTTCTTACTGATAACACTCTTCGTTTTTGTATAAAAATACTGTATCTGTTTTTTAAGATTGAGAATTTACTACATACCCATGCTAATATTATAAATGTGAAAGTGTGTTTGTTTGTCCTTCTTTCACATTGAAACAGAGGCGGATTGGCGTATTTTTTGTGTGGAGATAGTTGGAGAGCTGGAGAATGACATAGGCTACTTTTTACCTCGGCAGATAATCTTTTTCCTTTCCCACGGGAAAATCGAGGGATGAACACGAGCGAAGCGATGGCGAGTCGATAGTCAGTTATTTCATAACACAAGACCTCCAACCTCGTAGCTTACCATGGAACTAGATGGCGCTGTGTGTTAATGTCCCAACATATTTATTTATTTTAAACAAACAATTAATAACAAAATTGTGATATCAATAAAAAAAATTAGACAGATATCTTAATATTTATAATTCTTCTGTACGTGTGTTTGTTAACCTACTTCACCTAAAGAACTGGTCCGATTTGAATGAAATTTTGTATGTACATATATTTCAATAGGCTCCTGGATGGTTTGAAAACAGAATTGGACCCGGTAGGTGGCGCTGCAGTCGGTGTGCCACTGATCGTCTCCTAAATGTACCTATCTTAATTTTTTCTTAGTTTAAACTTAGTTATAACTTATATATAATACATAAATGAGCTAGCGTGTGGTAATTCTAATTATTCTAACAATGAACAGTTAAATAAAAAGTTAAATGTAAATTAATACCAGTGACTGTCATTACAGGTTTACATTTTTTTCGGAAGTGTTGCAACCATTTTATATTTATGATTTTTTTGGTAGTAGGTAATACTAGACACGGTAAACTACATTATATTTTTTTTTCTGTGATTGTACCACTAATAAAAAAATGTTTTTTTTTAATTATAATAAATACGATAGAAAAAAATCTAAAAAAAAATATATAACGTAGACTAATATTTCCTCTAATGAATAGTTTTTGTTTCATTAGTGGAGCTGCAATAATTTTCAAAAAAAAACCGTTTTAAAAAATTACCGATTTAGAGTCTATTTGATCAATTATCTCCAAAACGCAACGAAAAGAGAGGCTGAAATTGTGTTAATTGTAAGTTTGTATCTTGCCAATGTTATTTTCAAAATATCTTTCTGGGGCCGCGGACCCTATCTTATCCTGCTAGACCATTTGGCACAGAGATAGATTATAGTCTGGAATAACACATAGGCTACTTTTTATCCCGGAAAAATATACGGTTCCCGTGGGATAGGTTTGTTTTTGTTTTCCTAAAGTTGAACCCGAGCGAAGCAATTTTGATAACAAAATAACTAAAATCCGTTAACATTTAAAGAAAAAAAAAACGACATCAAGCAAAACACCGTTGAAGCGATATCTTTTTTACGAACATATCTGAATGTACATAAAAGTTTTATGTAAACATTTTGAGTTCCAAAAGTTACAGCTGTTATCGAAGTATCGAGTTGATAACATCGGATGTTTAACTTTGGCTATATCCTTAAATCCCCCATAAAAACGGAATTGCTGTAAAACAAATTTAAAACACGTGTATTTCTTTATAATTCATTGTGTAGATGTAGATATATTGAAGAAAAATTTTTTATCACTCATGTAACATCGATTTTTACCAAAATCGATTTTATGTTTTAACATAAAACGCTACTTATCAACTATCTTAAATTGTTGAATTAAATTATGTATGTGTATAAAATTATATTATTTCTGCAATGACATTTATTTTTATATCTATGTATACATATAATAAAATAGTAACTGATGGCTGTCTGTACATAGATAATATTTGAGAAAACCATATTATTCGGGGTCTTTATGAACGCAATTGAACCCAAAACAATGATTTTTAGAATTCTCGTCTGTTTGTCTGTGCGTATTAATCTCAGAAACGGCTTAACCGATTTGGGCGCGGTTTTCACTAATGTATTGTGGTAAGCTTCACTTAACATTTAGTATTTGTTTTATTTCAATCGGTTCATAAATAAAAAAGTTATGTCAATTTAAAAATATCACATCGAACATTAAAAAAACTAGTGACTCAACCTCGCTCGCAAACGTACCTAGGGGACGCGCGACGCGAGGGCGAGTCGCTAGTGTATACTATAAAGAGATAGTTTGTGAGATAGTGAGTTTGTGACGTTGTAGGGGGTAATCTCTGGATCTATTGAACCGATTTAGATGAAATTTGGTTAGAAGATAGTTTGAGACCCTGGAAAGAACATAGGATACTTTTTATCCAAGAAATCATCCCTTAAGGGGGTGAAAATGGGGATGAGTTTGTATTGGGAATCAAGCTAGGGACGAACCCGAGCGAAGCGAGGGTGAGTCGCTAGTGATATATATACATATAATATATAAGAGTAATACAAAAAGATTGCGATGGGATTTAGAAATTAAAACAGATTAGAAAAAATATGTTGTAATAACACAATTTAATTATTTTACCTATAAATGAAAATTATACATCCATACTAATATTATAAATGTGAAAGTGTTTGTTTGTCCTTCTTTAACGTCGAAACACGCGTGACGGATTGGCGTGATTTCTGGTGTGGAGAAAGATAGAACAGGGTCGATAATTTTTGAAACCAAAAAAAATAATAGTAGGATGAAACCCATTGGAAAAGGAAGAGAATATAACAAAAATGAAAGGAAAAATAATTTACGGGCGATCTGAGGTCGGGAAGTGGGAGGGGGTGAGTTTTTAAGGGTAAAAAACGTTTTATTCCTATGGAAAAATGTTAAATGGCAAAGTTGTAAAGTAATAAAATATCTACAACATTTGTATATTTACTTTTTTAACCTAACCTAAACCTCAAAATTTATGTGAGAAATTCATATAACCAAGTTTTCGGTTTTTTATTTTTATCTTTTAAATTTGGTGAAAACATAGTTTTTTATGTCCCAAACATACTGTAATTTTTTTGATTTAAAATATTTATTTTTTCATCTTATTTTTACTATTATTTACGGTAATTATACGAAAAAAAACCGAAGCAAGGGTTAAGTCGTTAGTTTAAACTAAATATATATTATAAGTGCCGAACATTAAAACAAAATTTAAACGTAATTTTTTTATTTTTGTAATTTTAAAATGTAAACAATACTTCCAGTAGTCCAGAATCCAACTGCGAAAAAGCTTGCCCTTCACAATAATACCATAAGGGCCATCCCTCATTACATATGTATAATAAGAGATTTAGAAATTCATTCCTTTGCTAATAAATTTAAAAATAAAAAAAACTTTTCTACCGCCAGATCCTAGACTACAATAACCATATTTAAACAGAAGTTAAACAGAGATGAAAATGCGAACCTATCAAAAAAACAACAGCTGTCAAACGCACATAAAATAATAAATTTGTACGTTTGTAAAATACATGGATATTTAATTCTACAGACTCTTCTACAGACAGTCATAAGGCACTCTGCCACCACTTACATTGCTGGGGAATGGAAAAAAAATGAAAAATCGACGATCCCAAAACAAAAATACAAATATCCAAAACACATTTTTTTTGTTAAACAAAAACAACCAATTTTCAAATGCTTAAAAAGTCATCCATCAAATAAATTCGTCAGATTAAAAATGAAAAAAAAAACAATTTTGTTTTTTTTTATTTATAATCGAATCGATAACTTTAAAGACTTAAAAATCAGACCTTTAATTTTTACCTACATACATTGAGTGCTTGCTTTGGGACCGTCACGAGAGCATGTTAAAAACCACGGCGATGATATGATCAATAAAGTGCTAAGCTAGATACACAATCCCATACAAAAGTTCTCTTAAAACTGTCACCAATTGTGTTTAGGTAATTGTTCTAGTTGAAATAAATAAATACAACAATGTAAATTGAACCTTAAAGGCAATACTTAAAGTTGTTTTCACAAAAAAAAGCGCGCTCAAATGTTCAAATGAGCGCTCATTCGGTGAGGACATTTTTTGTCGCTGATTGTGTTTTGTCGCTAGTACTTTTTGATCGATGCATAGATAAAATAAAAATAAATTATTTTAGACAGTTTTAATTAATATATTGTATTGCAAACTCCTCGAGTAAAAAGGTCAGTCTAATAATCGTCTATATCATACAAATTGTCGATCTCTTCATCGTCCAACTGCATTGACTGGAAGTCCACTTTGTAACGTAGCAAACCTGTAACCATAGATTATAAATTAGTTTAAATAAAAATATATATATATATATATGGAATTTAATTTTAAAAAATCTATATGTAAAATAAAAAATGTAATTAATTTAAATAAAAAAAATGAAATTTAAATAAAAAAATATATGTCAAATAAATAACAAAAAAAAATATGCCGTTTTCTGGTGCGTTGGAAATTTAAAAATATAAAGTACGACGAAAATTATTCGTAAAATAACTATAAAAAATAAACCACTACATATTTGTTTCGAAATAAAAAAAATTAAGTCTCCAAATGAAATAATAAAAAGATTCACAAGTAAACATTATTTTTCATTTTCCTCAAAAGCACAGAATATTATATTAAATAAATAACAGATAAAAAAAAGTTAAATGTCTTGACTTTGACTGTGATTTCTGTTTTTTTTAATCACTCGACCTCTCGATCAGCTTTAAGTATTTAATGTTATGGTTTTAAATAATTATTGCGGTTATTATAAAGTTGCGGTATTATTATAAAGCGTGTACCGATTTTATCTTTTATTTTGTTAAAATTTAAGATAAAATCTCGTTTCCGCCCCAAAATTGTAAGCAAATTAAAAAAATCTTCATTTTTTTCAAATTATTTTAAAAATTATTGAGAACAGAAATAAGCGCTAAAATCGTTATTTCTGCCATTTTATTTAAAAATATATTGACCTTATTTTATTATCTTAACTGTTGCCATACAAAAACATGTGCAATTCAAAATTAATGAAATAATACAAATTCAAAAAAAGATTTTAATGGATTCGAAAAGTCCCTTTAAAAATTGCCATTTAAAAAATAAAAACAAAAAATAAAAGAAGTAATTTACACTAAAAAAGTCGCATCGCCAAAGAGCTTATAATAATTGGCTTATAAAATCAAGTTAATTAAAAAAAAGATAAACCGACATAATAATAAACATGCACATAGCTTAAAAATTAAGAAAAAAAAGTAGTAATACACTACAAAAATAGACAAACTAATGTACTACGACTCTAAGGGCGAATGTAGATGAAGCTTTCTGTAGATTCTCCGCAAAAAAATGTATTTCCAAAAAAAAAAACTGAATATTTCACAAATTTTTGACAAACTATTTTATGCCCGCGACTCCACTCGCATGATTGAAAAATCATTCACGATATAATTTTGTCATCCACGATATTCACAGTGGTAGAGAATGTTTACCACGAAATCGTCTAGCTCCGACAAGTCGTCATGACCGAAAGAGCGCAGGAGTTTATTTCGCTGATGATGAAAACAAACATTAACGCCATGGGAAGATCAAACCTATGACGTGACATTTAATCAGATATTGATGATTTAAAAAGTTAAAAAAAATCTATAGAAAAAAATTAGAATAATACTAGCTAATAACTTATGGGACGGGACTATCTCAGAAAACAAAACAAGTAAAAAAAACACACAATCTAAAGGACCATGCACAAGCGTAGAAACAGTTATTACCTCGAATCCAGGTGTGCTTGGAAGAAATTTTTGTGACCATTTCGATTTAAGTTTAATGTTTAGATGTAAAATCGCAAAATGGGAATAAATACAGCTTAATAAAGCAATGTCAATGATAAAATGTTAATGACGAAAAAACCGTCAAGTCCGATTAGAATTATTTAAGAAAAATATATTATTAGGTACGTGTATAGTCATTTTTCTGACTTTGACATTTAGTGCCATAAAAAATAACTTAAATGTTAACTTAATTATATTGCTACTAACGGCTCACCCTCGCTTCGTTCGGGTTCGTTTCTAGAAAAACAAAAACAAATCTATCCCACGGGAACTTTTTTGTAATTTAAATAAAAAGACTTTCAATCATAAATCTATTCTATTATTATAAATGTGAAAGTGTGGATATTTGGATATTTGTTACTCAATCACGCCAGAACAGCTGAACGGATCTGGATGGAATTTGGCACAGAGATAGATTATAGTCTGGAATAGCAGATAAGTTACTTTTTATCCTGGAAAAATTACGGCGCTCGTGGGATAGATTTGATTTTGTTTTTCACCAGAGACAAACCCGAGTGAAGTGAGAGTGAGCCGCTAGTTTATCATAAACAGCTTTGCCATAGATAATAATAGTAATTGAACAAAATAATAATATTAATAAATATAAGAAGCGTTTATTTTTTTTATATATATATCTCACTATTGGTCTATTATTTGTCATAATAAAATAATTAAATATTCATATATTTTGACGCTTCTAAATTTGGACTTTGACTTTCAAGCCTTTTTAGTTAACGCATAGACTAACTGAAAAAAAAAACCGACCAATGAAAACAAGGAGACCATTGCAAACGTTTTTATATATAAACCAGAAAAGCATACACTTTCAATCCATATTATGACAATCCTTAATTACATATTTTAAAATCAGTAGTATATTTCGTTCAAACTTATATCTAAATTAAAATTATTTAATATATATCACACCTAATTAAAAATTCAAAGTATAATTGCACTCATATAAACAATAGACTAAGATTCTAGTTTTAGTGTTACCATGTTGAAAATTGAATTAAATATATGTATATATATTTTTATATATTATTTTCTCTCCCAGCAACATTTCACGCTATGTATGCTTCTCTTTCTATCATGGTTATCGATATATTGTTGTCGAAAACGTAAATCCATCTGGAAATGTAGGCGAGTGACAAAAATTGGACTGCGCAACACATTTTGTATGAAAAAATGTAAATATTCAATGTTACCCTAGAAACATATAGGATTTGAAGGAAAATATTTAATTAAATGTTTGATAGCAACTATGTCTGTTTGTAAATATTTGCATATTTTTAAAATTATATAAATATTGAAATTCATAATATATATGCGCAGTCCATATTAAGCCATTAATACAAACGTAAGTTACATTTATTCAAGCATTAACACTCGTCATAGACAATCGGACATTTTTATTAAAAAATATATATTTTTTTAATTTATTTACGTAAAATTGGCAGTAAATTTATAATATTAAGACCTATTTTATGAGTAAATAAAAAAAATATGTTGTAAATAGTTAAGGCACCAAATCGCAAAGTTTTTTATGCAAAATTCAGGTACAGCTTTTGTTTTCAAAATAAAATATCGATATTTTGAATAACTTTAATGTGCAATACTGATATGTGTATGCAAAGATAGTAGAGAATCCGAAGTTAGATCCCCCTTCAATCATCTGCTTAAGGGGTGGAAAGTGTTATATCGCAGATGGGTTATTTAACAAAATCTAGGCAAAGCTATCTTTAATAAAAAAAAACTTTACTATTTTTACCCAAACCAAATAAATATGGTATTAATTTAAAGTACAAAGTATGGCAAAAATTTATAACTTCGAAATTACAGAAAACCAACGCGAATGAATACCGTTGCGCGCGTACGACGACGTACATACGACTTAATGTGGTCGTACGAACGGTCGTAAGAACGAGATTCATACATAGAAAAAACTTAAAAGCTATTTGATTTCAGATAAGACACATTATTATAATTATTATTTAAAAGACACCTTACCGTATTACAGGGCGATATTTTCTGTATAAAACGTTTAATAAAAAATCAAACCCTTCTTCCACTAAGCAGATGGATGAAAGACGATCATACTTCGGATCTTAGTCTATAGGCAACGACAACCTTGTGACAGTAAGAAGAGTCGACGAAAAACCAAGAGTGCTATATATTTCATAACTGTATGTATACTTTTTATGGCATTATATCTCCTAGACCTAAGCGAATGGACCAATTTTAATATGGTTTTCTGTCATTAACTCGTACAGAGTATATCAGACAATACAACTAGTTTCCCATGACTGTGTTTAACAGTTATTTTCGTCATATTTTTAGAGGATTATAACCTTTTGCATCAAGCGTCAATCAATAATTATTTTTTAGTGTTATATTTATTAGTGAGTATCAAACCATATTTAGTCGTTATTCAATATAAAATCGATTTCATTTATAATATGTATGTATTTAAAGTTGTATATATGTAGTGTATCAACTATCTGGTATCCATAACACAGGCCTCGTAGCTTACCATGGAACTAGATGGTGGTGTGTGTTAATGTCCCAACATATTTATTTAAGACTACGAAGTACGAGTTATTTTTCCATGATATATTAGATTCCATAATATTAGGTTTTGTTTACCGCGATATAAACTAAATGGAAAGATGCAGTGTTAAAGGGCATGAAGAAGATGCAAGCTTTCCGAAGACGATGAATATAGACCGAGAAGAAAAATAAGACAGGCTGACTCCACTGCCATATGGGATATAGCCTGGAAGAGAGAGAGAAAGAGAGAGTTTTCGGCGATATGCCTTAATTTTAATGCACCAGAGAAGTAACTCGAAACCTATTAACATCTAATATTATATGCGTTTACGCATATCATGCAATATGTATCCAGCCCCTATTTAACGTCCCACTGCTGGGCAAGGGCCTCCCTTCAATACGAGGGGGGTCAGGCTATTGTCCACACTGGCCAATTGCGGGTTGACGGACTTCACACATTCTTTCGAAAACTTGCAAGGTTCTCTCAGAAATGCAGGTTTTCTCACGATGTTTTCCTTCATCGTTAAAACAAGTGGTAATCATGTTAGAAATGATTCGCACTTGAAAATATCAGAGGTGCGAGACCCGGGATTTGAACCCACTTCACTCGGTTTCCCAAGCGAGCGCGTTACCACTGGGCTACTACTGCCTACCATACTACTACCAGTATGCAATAGCAGAAACATATCTCTTATCATAATTAAGGAGCAATAGAGAACTACAAGTGTAAAATAGTGTACATGTGGTATTTTAAGTCACTCTGGGATAACTCTACTTTTTACTCTTTATGGGGTAAAAGAGATAAACTCTTCTTCTTCACGTTTATTCTCTTCCGTGAATTTAAGACGAACACTGTATAACGGTGTAAATCAGGACAAGTTAGCATAAACGAGATACTTGCGTTATA